TTTCTATTTTCTTTATTTTGTATCTCTCTCTCTTATTGTTATTATCGATTTTTTATTATATTTTATCCTATCGATTGACTACTACTACTACTACTAACATTGTTATACTTTCGTTGGAGGTTTTTTTTGTTTGCCTACTTTTTTTATTGCGCTTTTCTCCTTATCACTCACTCACTCACTCTCTCTCGCTAGATATTTATCGAATAGAATTCCCTCTTTTTGTTTTTTTGGTCATTCTGAGTCTTGTGTGTATGTGTGTAGTCCTTCCCGTATGTTCTATATGACAGATATATTACTGAATCAATGTAAGTAATAATTGCCGGATTAAAAGTTATTATAATTATCATTATTATGATTAATATAATAATATTGACTGTCGGGTCCCTTTTCACTCCTTTTTTTTTTGTTGGTAATTTTAAGGAGGATGTTATTACTTTGATAGGCGGTAGAAGAATGTCATGAAGAGCAGTCAAAGGAGGTGCTGGATCACTGTGTGCCTGTGTGTCAGCAGAATCTTTGTTCACATAGCCTAGTATTTTTTAATTTTTTATTCCTTCACGTTCCCAGTGGAACATAGGGCTTTAAGCATCTAGCTTGAAGTTTCTGTAGCAAGGTTTATTTTTACAGGATGGTGTTGCTAGCCTCATGCCCAACCTTTCCTCTTCACCAGCTTTTTTTCTGGCTTAGTGAGGTAAAGGAGTGCGTGGGCCGGGGATCGAACCCCGGACCATGTGCATGGTCGGCAAGCGTCCAAACCGCTATGCCACGCAAGCCTAGTATAGGATTTTGTAATTCCTAGGAATGGCTGACTGAGTTTCATCGTGGAACTTTGTACCGAAGTGTAGCAGGTTGAGTCGCCAAACTTCACAGCAGCACACGAAGGAGGGGAAATGAATGAAGAGACATCAGTAGACTGCAGTCACTAGTTCTTAGTGCCTCAAGGAATCTTTTGGACAAACAGTTGAAACCTCCATCAACAACTTAATCCCATGTAAGCTAACATTACGAAACCAGGTAGGCGGTGGTTCGCCGCATGTAACACGTGCCCTAGCCACCTCAAATGATGCAACTTCACAATCTCATTGATTAACTGCCCCCCCCCCTCTTACCTAACACTTTACACCTAACTACAACAAGATTCGGATTTTCAACACTTATGTCCATTCAATTAGTACTTTTATATGCTTCACATATTTGGTGTGTGTTACCAAAATCATTTCCAATAACCTGCTGGAGACAGTCCTCAGCAGCTGCCCGATTCGCTCTGCATTGAAGATCAGACAGCTGACTAGAAGGTAATGGCAACCAGGAACATATGGTTCAACAAATATGCCAGAGGAAATCCAGATGGATTGGATTGTTGAGTGACACCACCCAGCAAGCCCTCGAGTGAAACCCAAATAGGAAAGAGCAAGTTGGGAGACTGATCGATAATGGCATGAAGGAGATTTCGTGATGAGTAGATCAGAGCATTTGAGCACTCTTAGACGCAGCTATATAAGACTGAGGAGAACAGGGTTAAATAGTGATGTGCTTTTGAAGCCTGGGAAAATGCAGAGTAAACATCTGTGTTCAAAAGTAGCTAACCTTTTCAGGTTTTCCATTTTTAGTGGTCACACAGAAGAAGTGAATTTTACTGACTGAATTTATCAGATTTATTTGGGAACATTGAGTATCTTTTTCTCGAAATGATACCACCTGTAGCACTAAAAAAGGTAACTTATCATTTTTCCAGGATTCGTGAGCACTATTACACTGCAAAACTTTCTGTAGGTACCGAAGAAACGAATATTTCAGAAACCTCAGATAGTTGATTATCTTTGTCGGCGAAACAGTACTCATGACTTTCAAAGTCATCAAGTGTGTAATATGAAGTCATTCTTGAAAATTGTCAAACAATAATTTGTTTTAAAACTCTGAGTACCGATAAGACTTAAACCAAAGACGTTTTGGATCGCTTACACATCATCGCGTCAATAATCTTGAGGCCGCTGGATTGAATCCTGCTACGACACAAAATTGTATTACACCCTAGATCATTAATTATCATAACAGTTGTAGTCTGTCAACGCCCGTCTTTCCGGGTTCGATTCCCGATCGAAGCCCTCCTAGACCTCAACTAACCAACAATAAGACCAATGAAAACGGAAGGTGGTTGTGCATGGGGCTAGTAACCCCACCCGTCAAAACAACATTGCCACCACCACTGTGACTTGAAATCTCATGTCTGAAACCCTATGTTCAACCTGAAAAATAGTATTTTATTAACTGTCTTGTTATTTGTCTCTCTCTGTAATAAAATCTTTAGTTTCAATTATTATTGGTTGGAGGATTCCATCATGAACTGACATCAGTTAGAGAACCATTGAAAAGCAGCCAGGGAGTACTGGACAGCTGTTCTGTCAGCCTAGTTTGGGACTCTTCAGCAGTACGCACCCACCGCCAGGGTTCAAACCCAGGACCTTCTGGTTAGAAGGCTAGTGAGCTCGTAGACCATTAAGCCACTGGGACCCAATCCAATAGTGAGTCCATGAATTCTAACTTCTGCTAATTCATGTAGGAGCGCGACCACTTCGCAATGTCTTCTTCAATGAGTTACTGCCTCCACCTCAACTTACTTCACCCTACTGGTAACGGCTTCCCACTAGAACCCCAGGTCACTGGCTGAATAGGGCCACTACTACTGATGAGTCGCAGATTAGGACGAAACAGCTGTCCAGTACTCAGAGTTGGTTTTACAATGGTTCTCTAACCAGTGTCAGCTGATGATGAAATCCTTTAACCAATCAAATAAAATCCCCACAAAAATCAGTACTTGAAAATCAATTATTATTGTCTACTGTTTAACGAGTTAGAGCTATTTTTAGTAACCTGAACCTCTAAAAAGTCAATCCACTTGGGGCATTGATAATTTGTGTCCGAAAAAATTTAGAAAATATTTTAGAAGAAACAAGATTTCGATATTTGCTTTAGAAACTGTACAGTAATCAGTACATATGGTATTTTTTTTCAAAAAAATTAACATTAATCATTATTAAGTCAATTTTTCATCAGACATTACTTTCCAGTGATTCGACTGAAACTAAATTTTTTTCAATATTTTCTAAATTTAATGGGTTTATTGATTATTCTAGCAACGTTTATCATCGTTCATCTTTCATGTATAATATCTGAATTTATGCATTTCTCCAAGAATGAAAGTCCTCATGAAGTAATACCAGCTAAGGCAGTGTTCGACATGTAGATCAAAATTGACAGCTGGTGTGCTGTAAGTTTAAATTCTTCGGTGATAATTGTCTAAGAATTATAAGGCATCACAGTGAGATGCAGCCAATGATTAGAAGTTCACTTGCACATTAGTTCCATCATCTGAAAAATGTATGAGTCTATGTAATATTAATATAGCAGATGACCTTTTGGTGTGTCTAATATTAGGTGGAACTCAGGTTGTATCATTAGAAGGCAAGAGACTTGATTAAAGAATGTTTATTTGGAGTTTGGTATCTCTCTGGGGCCAGGTTATGTACACCTTACCTTCAACGCACCATTTTCACAGATCTTTCGTGTCGTGCTACTTCTCGTCTTCCTTCACATTGTGGTTCTTTTTCTTCCTTTCACGTCTCCCATGTATCTCTACAACGCTGTATCATTCACTTTCTTTGATATCAAATCTATCTCCCTAATATTTGATGTTTTTTATGCCGATTAACATGTCCTTTTATATACTACTGATAAATCTTATTAGTAGCGAACGCCTCAACGTTAACTCTCATGAAGCATAAGATCCGGATTTTCAAATCCAATGTGAAGTCAGTGCTACTTACTACACGGATCAGAGACTTGGCGCGTCATGAAGAGCATCTCAAACAAACTACAGACCTTCATCAATGGCTGTCTCCACTCAATACTCAAGATCAGATGGCCAGAATAGATCAGCAACAGGAATCTCTGGGAACGAACCAACCAGGAACCGATTGTGAAACAAATAGGCAGGAAGAAATGGAGTTGGATTGCCTATACTCTGAGGAAACCATCCAGTGACATCACACGCCAGGCCATCAGTGGAGTGGAATCCGAAAGGGAAGTGGTGAGTTGGTCGTCAGTGCAAGGGTGACTTGGAGGAGGTCATGTGAAGAGGAGATGAAAGCATGTGGGCAGACGTGGAGCAAGGTGAAAATGTTTGCAGAGGACCGAATGCAATGGAGACGTGTGTTTGAGGCCCTATGTTCCTTAAGGAACTAAAGGAAGCAATAATAACAATAATGTGTTCACTACTGAAAAGTAGTTATTTTTTCAATATTTCCGGTTTTGTAAAACGTATATGAATTGTAAAGTGTAGCTCCTGAATTTAAGAAAATATTACCATCAAGGGAGAGACAATAAAGCCTACTTCTAGTGGGGTGTCTACTTATCACTGAAGTTAGCGTCCAGTACAGTTAACTGTCAGGATCAGATGACCCGAAGGAAACAACAACAAGAAACTTTGTGAACAGACCGATCAGGAATCTGTTGGCTAACAAATATATGGAAGAAAGTGGGTATGGATTGAAAACACATTGAGGAGGCCATCGGGTGACATCCCGCACTGAAGTGAAATCCGAAGAGGATGCACTTCGAGGGTGACATGGAGGAGGTCATGTGAGCCTACAGATTATCAAAGATTGAGCTAAAGATGACTGCAAAATACGGGACAAAGTATGGTTCCGGGTGTCAAATTCACCTCCAAAAGCTTCTAAATTCATTAGAAAACAAATATATTATAAGCTGACCAGTTAAACTGTGTTTTAATAGTCCACCAGTAGTAGAATGGTCACCAGTCACCCGGGAGATCCCTGTTCAACCTCCCCCCCTCCTACCGATTCATGAGCGTAAGGCTACCGACTCCCGAAAATTTCAAACCTTAAGTTCCACTAAGAGATGATACAAACGAATAAAAAAGCACAAAACGGTTTTTTTTATAAAAAAAAAGTAATAAACAAAATTGACAATTGAAAACTTACTTTTAAATGTTCAAAGGAAATTTGAGTTGTTACTAATTTTACTACTAATGGCAATAGTAATATTAGTAGTAGTAGTATGCAACAGTTTTAATTTGAACACGGCTAATTCTTCTCTCTCTCAAGGGAGCTTACTTTCGAGAAAAAAAATGTATTGATAAAATTCTACAAAGTTTTTTAGTAGCGGTAGCGGTATATTGTATAATTCCTCAGCAGTATATTATTTCTTTTGTGTGTGTATGTGTGTGTGTGAGGTATTAAGTAAGTTCATTTGGAACATCCATACTCATATACTGCCTCGTTTACCACTGGAAATGTTTCTTGAGTATCTTGAGAACAAAAATGGAGGAAATCACACCAATATATGGGTATATATATATGCAAACAGGTTAACCAATCAAGAGACTAATTGTCTGACAATGACACTTTTGTCATACGAGTTATTTTATTACAGTTATCGTCGTGAGTATGTTTGTTCAATATATATATGTATATCGGTAGAGGAGAGTATTGACAAAATCAACATGCTCTGTTTGAGATGTATTCAGGGTGAGACGGAGAGAGGCAAAGAGAGGGAGGCAGAGATTAAACACAGAAAACGGAAAACGTTTGATGTTTAAGTTCTACTTTGTCTTTCTACTCTCATTACATTACATTACATGCTCCTTCTGTCGTTGCTCTTCCTGTTTGATTGCTATGAGATACAGACAGACCAACAGAGAGAGAGAGCGCGGGAGAGTAGCAACTGTCATGAATCGAAAGATAACCTCTCTATTCAGCGTCACTGTATATATACATATTCCGGTGTATAGAATTAACAATAATTGCAATTGATATTACTTATACGCGTGTATGTATGTATTCAGTAGTATGATGTACCGCTTTCTCTTTTTAACGAAAAAATCGAATTGACATGTAATTATTTGTTTAGTTTGAATGTCTCTGATGTGTGTAATCTTCGGTGGTTCCGCTTTGCTTTTTGTGTCGTTGTTGTTGTTGTCTATTTCCGTGATAGTTTGACTTTCAACTTTCAATGATGAAATTGATCATTGAATGTTTTGTTTTCGCCGCTAAGTTTCATGAAACAAGAGATGACATGACTCATAATGATACATGATATTATTGTGTAAGTATAAAGTTATTTTAATACAGCACGTGGAAGAAAAATACGTTTTGAAGATGAAATTGGCAAATAATTTGAGAATATTTATATATATACGCATACATCTATGAAGTTTAAGGCATATATAAATGAACACACACACGCAAAGACATATGAAGAGAGTTAAGTGGTTAGCTATCGACCAACATGAGCATAACTCACGATACTTCCCATACAATTGACCAATTAAATTTAGCATCAAGGCTGTAACGATATGTCTGTAAATACAGATATAGATTGAACTGGAACAAACGAAATATGTTTATGGGTGTGTGTGTGTGGGGGTGAGCAAGCAAGTGAGCGAGTGAATGAGTGAGTGTGTGATTCATGAGGATCAGAACAATGAACTGTAGGCGGGATAATTTACGAGAAATGAGAAATATCTACTGTGATAAGCAATTTATTTATTATTAAATTAATGAAACGAACTCATCCTACTAGCACTATTATTATAATTATGAGTGGGAAATAAAGGAGTGAGACATCGTCGAAGCATCTGCACAAGAAGCAGACACGGCAACCTGAGACCGAGCACTTCGGTCGAATCAATCGACGGGAAAATCTAAAATTAAATTAAATTAATGTGACCCGTTGCACAAGAGGTAGCTCTCGTGGTCCAATTGGTCTAGTGGATATCGCTTTGGTGTTTGAAACTATGGTCACTGGGTTCGAGCCTCGGTGGGAACATCATCACTCACTGAGAAATGCAACTACATCTAGTTGACGAGTCCCAAATAGGAAGAAACGCGCATCCTGGATTCCACTGTTAGTCACCATCCACAAATTAAATTCTAATTAAATGCCCAGACATCGTCGAAGCATCTGCACAAGAAGCCGACAGACATGTCAACCTGAGACCGAGCACTTCGGTCCAATCAATCGACGGGAAAATCTCAAATTCAATTAAAATAAGAGATATTGCTTTATTCCAACATTGGATATCGTCCAGAATTGGGAATCATTGAGAGAGGAACATTGAAAACTATGGAAAAATTAGTGTAAGACAGTTTTTTTTCTTTCTGTGGATACACAAGAATACTGTTGAAAATTCTTAGAGTTGAATGAGACAACTGTTCAGAACACCATTATGTTTCAATGAATTTCTAACTGATGTCGCTTTGTGATGAAATTCCAATATTGTAAATAATATTTATTCATTAAATATGTTGAATATGAAGGGAATAAAAGATGCATTGGATACAGAACTTTGCCAGCCAGGAACAAGCTGGATTCAGGAAAGGCAAATCATGTGCTTATCAAATTACAACTCTACGCATCGTCACCGAACAAAGCGTAAGATAGCAGTCATCGACTTCAAGAAGGCCTTCAATAGACAGCGTTGACCGAGAAGTGATTTGGAAACTGTTTCAACACTATGGAGTTCAGTACCTCAAATCTTTATCAACCTCATTCAACCACTATTTGACAGTGGCACGTGTCAGGTGATCCACACCGGAAAACTCAGCCAGGCGTTCCAAGTGAATACAGGAGTAAGACAAACTGCTTGCCTGCCTATTGCCACCGATGATATTCCTAATTGTAGTGGACTGGATTATGCGTCAGACTATGCGTTGGGAGTGAGAAGACAAGAATACGTTGGACTGACAAGAATTCTCTAGAAAATCTGGATTTCGCGCGTGGATGATTTACGTCTAATGTCACACAAACTCGAAGACTTGCAGACGAAAACCAACAATTGGGCTGACGAAGCTGGCAGAGAAGACAGGACTCTAGGTGAACATGAAGAAGACGTAGGTGACGAAGATACCCACTAACCAACAGCTGCAGCAACAACAACCAGCACCAATCACCCACCATCAACGGTAGAGATTTGACAGAGGTCACTCCACTTCCTTCACTTTTCCCGCTAGGAAGCACACTTTCAACCACAGGCAATCGGACAACACCGATGAAGATGTCAAAGCCAGCCAGCCCGCCAGCAAGCCAGAATCGGAAAGACAAACAAGATACGCCTTCATCAACCTGAAACCAGTTCGGAAATCTTCTGCACTCACTCAGCCAGCCAGCATAAACAAAATGATTCGGATTCTGTTCATCACAAATGTGAAGAGAATCAGTCAATTCTTCTATATGGGTTGGACACTTGCACTGCGTATCAGTCACGAAAAGCATTTCCAACAAGTTACAGAATTTTATCAACAGCTGCCACCTTCCCTGGCTGGCTACATACTGAAGATGAAATGGCTGACCGGCTGATCAGAAACAATTAGCAACAAGAAACTTTGGCTGGCAACAAACCAACGAGCAACAGCTGATTGCTCATTGGACGAATATGTGGGGAGGAAATGGAGATGGAGCGGGCATACGCTGTTTGAGAAGGCCGTCGAATGATATCGCGCTCAGTGCCGGTGCTCACTTGAGTGGAATCCCAATGGGAAGCGACGAGTGGGTCGTCGGTGAGAGGATGACATGGAGGAGATCGTGTGAGTTGGAGGAGGAGAAGCAGATTAGAGATTATGGTCAATCGTGGAGCTAGTCAGCCGAAGAGGACAGCGGAGAATGGAAGAAAGTGGAGCCCTATGTTCCACTCGGAACCCAAGGAAATAATAATAATCACTTCCGTACTATCCATTTTCATGATAAGGAAACTGTATACAATTGAGTTTGTACAGTTAAATGGGAGAAATGAATTCGCCTAAAAGAGCCTCTTCTTTGAACTAAGTGTTTTATTTTCTTTAATGTCTATTTGAGGATTATTCATGAATAAATCGACGGATCAGTTAATTGGTTGTTGGTGGGTAGCAGAAGAATCCAGAAGGCGCGTTTTGCTTCACAGATGGCCATTAAGAGGCTTGCAAATAACTCCAAAAAATTGATTTATGTTTAATGATTAGACTTTTTTATCCTTATTTCAGCTAACATATCTCTATTTGCTAGTTTATTTTAGTCACAAATTACAGATAATCAAAACTATCAAGAATTTTCTTTGTTTTCGGAAATAGACTTTTTGGTTTGCAATTGTATCTATGACTCTTGTTGTTAGAACTTTCAGACAGACTCAAAAAGGTTTGTTCACACCACGAATATGATCGTGTGTGACTTTTGTTATCTGCCTCTATCCTCTACCCGTTATCAGTACTGTTCAGCGCTGGCACGATAACTGATAACAAGTAGATTAGACGTTAAATAATCACATCTGTTTAGTAGAAAACAAAATAAGTATAACATTAAGATTTGTAGATAAGGCTTATTGACATACTGTGTAGTGTTTATAAAACATTTATTGTCATGTTAATTATTCATTTCTTGCGTTTTGAGTGAAAAATCGCTTCTCGGCAGCATATCTTAATTTCACACGGTTCTCTAAAATCACTTTTAGCCGGGCCTTAATACTGCCCAAAAACTTTTATTTCCAAGTCACTTGATGCCATTCACCTTCATTTTCATGCTGCATATTTGTTGGGCAATAGACTCTCAGCCGACTGGCTCTTGGAATTCATCCTATCTGGCGAGTTATCTGATCTACAGGATCGAGTATAGTCATCTGTTAGTGCGAATACTTTCCATGACACGCGTGCCAAGTCTCTGGACCATATGGAAGTATTAGTGTGACATGAAGGCTGGAAATTCGGATCTTATTCTTTATGACAAGTGTTGTTGAATGTCCACATACCTGATCGCCTTCGATATACTGATTCGTGACACTTATAGTTGAAGCGATGCTACCAAGGTAAGTGAAAGAGACGACTTCGTTTAGATGTTTACCATTGAAGGTGACTGGTGCTTGTTATTGCCGGTAGTGGATATTTTCGTCACCAGGCCTTCTCTTTGTTCACTTGGAGTCCTGAGTTTCTTGCCTGTCTCTTCTACCAAATGAGTTGTTTTCACTTGTCAGTCTGTTTTATTTATACGACGCATGACATAAATATGTTATACACACGTAGTTTTGCCTAATTTTGTATGAAACCTTAGAGTAACCAGTTTAAGGAGTTATCGCGCACTGGCGTGAGCCGTTTGTTTTTCCCTCTGTTTGGATTACTGGATTCCTATTGGCTGTTGGTACTTTCATTGCATCACTGAATTACTGCATTTTTAAGGTTATTCTAGCTGTATATATACAGAGTTTCTATCTAGCATTTTGACTGTTGTTTGAGACAGTGAAAGCTCTCTTATCGACGTCCAGTCTTTTCTTTTGTCTTTGCGTGCCGATGGTGTTATTGTTGTTGTTGGTGTTGACGTGCGATTAGGGCAGATTAGCCAGAGCATTAAGTTAGTATTCGCTCATAGTCTACTAGGTTGTAGTTCCGGTATTAACGAAATAATTCGCGAAATTCAGGTATTCTTGAATCTTTTTGTCAGTTCAACATATCCACGTCTTATCACTACCAACGACTTGCGATATGATGCAGTATAGTGTAGAATGTCGTTGATACTGTCTACATTTTTTATCATTTTAGACAAAAAACAGTGGATAGTTTTTCACAGATCTGTATTTTACACAACTCTTTAACGTGCTCCACTTTAACAAAGTAAGGATTAGAACTTGAGGGGAATATACACAAATAATTTGGTTAATTCTACAGGTCCGTATCTTCGTTTCAAGTTATCCTTGTAATGGTTGCAACATAAGGTTCTTCAACTATCCTCATCATTGCCAAATATGCTCTATTCCCGTGTATAGACTACGATACTTGTGATATTCGTGCTTGACTGATGAAAGGTGACATCCATCTTCTTCTTCCTCTTCTCCTAACTTCAGCATTGGACAAATTTCAAACTTCAAGTGGATAATGTTAGTCTTCACTATATGATGACAAGGATACCTGCATCAACGACGAAAACCAACTCGTTGTGATCTGGACGGAAAGAGTCAATCCCTGCATCCTACTGGATAGTTGTCCGAAACTTACTTGAAAGATGTAAAGTCACAAAACTCTCCAATGACCGCAAAAAGACTATTATTTGTCGGTAGATCTATGGTTCTATTCAACAATAATAACAACATCAAAAATTCAAAATCACCTCAACAGTGGCGTTAGGCAGCTATACAGTCCA